ATATAAATCTTTGCTCTGGACACAGGAGGTTGCTATAAAGCTTGATATTTAAGAAAATCCAGTACTCAGAGATGACAGAATCACAGAATAAGCTGAGTTGGAAGAGACCCACAAGGATCATTGAGTCCAACTCTTAGCCCTGCACAGAACCGCTTGTAAAAGTTCACAGAAGTCCCACTGCTTCTTTCAGAAATGGTTTGTTGAAGCCTAACTAGGGACTGGAGAAGAGATAAATTGCTATTCAGTTTTGATGATGGACATTTGATGCAGTCTTCATCAGGTTTTCATTTTTCCTTATTCCCAATACCTTAAGCCATATCTAACCTATAATTGTCTTTAACCTTTTCATTATTATTTCTGAGATTTTCTAATCTACATCAACTGGTTTGGCGCATCAAGTGAGAATCCCAACAACACAAACAGAACATTAGTACTTTTTCCACAGGTTTCTAAAGTTCAAAACCACTTGCCCTATATTTTGCCTTGAAGACATGGCAATGTGTTTCAGAAACTGATGCATGTTCACTGGAGTGTAGGATTGATGTGTAGCTGATTCCCATGAAATCACCAGTTCAGTGCTTTACAGTGGTGCCACAGCTCTCTGTCTACCTATGAAAAGACGCATATTATTTGTATGGCTCTTGATGACTTTTACAAAGCATAAGCCTAAAAAGAGAAAGAAAATGTAATAGCCTTTTTATATACAGAAGTAGAATAGCCCTCTTTGCAACCAGAAATTCACTTCATTGAATGATAAACAAAAATGTTCTGTATGTATATTAGAGACCGGAAAAAGTTTGAGTCTAACAAGAACACTCCTTCAGTAATATCTTATTTGAATAAGGAAAGGTTGAATAAAGCGTTTAGTATCACGTGTTTTCTGATGACTTGTAAAGACAAGCATGAATCCACAAAAATTATACCAGAAATACTCTCAAGACATGTTTTAGTGGTGCACCTGGCAGTACGAGGTTAACAGTTGGACTTGATGCTTTTAAAGGTCTTTTCCAATCTAAATGATTTTGTGACTCTAAGCTGTAACTAAATTATGCTCATGTGAGAAAAGTATCTGCAAATTCACAGAACCACACCTCTTTCCAACCATACCTGCGCAGCTACATACAGTGCTTCTGGCTGAAAGTTTTTTGAGAAAGCCACCAAAAGTACAAAGTTCTCTCTCCTAATTTGTGAAACAGCTTGAAATACTCCAATTTGATCCTCATTTAAAATGTGTCAATCAGCTAAAGTAGACTCTTCCATTTTCTAATTAATATAATTAAAGTTTGTTTTAAAAGTGACTTGAGTGTTCTACAATTGCAGCAACACAAGTATTCACACCAATTTCATCTTTTTGAAGCTGTAGAAGTTCAGAATGAATGTATTGTTTCTGATATACTGTAATTATTATGAAAAAAAAACCAACACTGAGCTCTGCTTTGGACAATCTGTGTATTTTAACTGTTTCTCAAAGCACTTGACTACTCATTTTGTTTCATAAACTAGTCTAACATTAAGTCTCTGAAATGAACACTGCTCATTACCTTTCCAGGATCCATATTCTCTGTTTAGCCATTTTCACCTGTCTTTGTAACTTTTTGTATTTCTGGCTACAGCACACAATTTCTCAAGAGCCCACTAACCCAGGTTGTGGCGTAACAGCTTACAATCAAAATGAATATGAAAAGAAGCTGTGGGGAAGTATCCCAGGCAGCACATGGGACCGATATACAGTGTTCCAGGTTCTCCAATTTCTCAGTCAGAATTCAGGCATATTTTAAGATATTACAATTGCAAGGTTACCTTTTATATTTATTTCTCTTGCAATTCTTTTGATCATAATTAGGAATTACAACTATTTACAAAATACTTTTTTCCCCTCACTGCAAGCTCAAAAGTAGTTGAGTTCACAAATAAAGCACAGAGAATAGATCATATGAAAATTTTAATTAAGTTTACGTTGAGTACACCCACAAAAATTAAGGAGATACATTTCATATTTGGGAGTACATTAGAACACATCAAATCACAGTGCATTTATCATCAAGATAATCATATCTTCTGGTAATATTTGAAAAATTTTATTTAACTGAACTGAAATTTGATTTCCATTGTTTTCTCATATTGTCAACTACTATATTTACATTTTTGATTCCAAAAGAATTAAAGTCTGTAATTTCTGTCAGAGAGACTAATGTCATATCAAAATAAAAATAAATTAGTATTCAAAGGAAAATATAATTACCTTTTGAAGGTATGTTGCAAACTGGTGTTTATGAGAATTTAAAACTGACAAAAACCAATTTTAAGCAAAACATGTCTTGGGGAGAAATAATGGAGCAATCTTTTTTTTTTCCCCCTTAAACAGCAGTATTTGCAGTTTGTTGATAACTTACAACTAAGAGCTTCAAAGCTTCTTCATTGCACATCACTGAAAAGAAGTGTTTACACTGTGGAGCTACTTAAGAGAGACAAAACATAATTGCACAAACTTTATCATGAAAATGCAAAAATGAATATTTAATGATAAAATATGATTTAATTTTTCAAAGATCGTAACAGCCAAGAAAAGTTTAGAGGTTTCAACCTATGATTTAGTTAAAGGTTATTTTTTATTCTGTTACAAACAGTTAGACTGTATTACCAGAGCAGAAAAGAATGACAAATCCTGGAAGCACATCTGTAGGATCCCTATCATTTCCCGCTCAGCAAGATACAAAACAAAAGTCTCAGTGATTTAATCCTTTGAACTGGAAGATTTCCCAGGAAGTGATGATGTGTTTTCACAGTGAGTGAGGCTGAAAAAAACCAAACCATTCAAAAGCACAAGAATGTCTTTCAGCAACCAGAGGACCTCAAGAAGCCACCAATTCAAATACCTGGTGCAGGGTCACCTACTGGATAGGCAGATTAAAAAAAAAAAAAAAAAAAAAAGGTCAAATTCATTTCATTGCCTAATTTTTCTTGACTAGATGTATATTGCCAGCGATTGTGGTTGCAAATCATAAAAATTTGGACTGTTCTTGCACCTCAGTCTGGTTCAGTTCTAACACAATTGATATAGTGGCTTGTAGCTGATAAAGGGCAAGTGTGTCTGGAAATAAAGTTTGGAAATAAAGGAGCAGCACATTTTTTCAATAACAGCCTTATCCCTGTAGTTCAGGTGGTCTGAAGCTGCATTTGCAACATATCTGCCTAATATAAGGTGTCGCCTGAATTTTGTTCAGTGATGCCTTACTGAAAGATAATACTGATCCTTGGCTCTGCTAAATATGCAGCTTGCCAGAGGCACTGACAGCAACTGGAGTCATGGGACTTGGTTGACTGAGTATTGGTTGTTTGCCACAACATTAGCCAGTTAAGATTTTAGTTTTATGGTCAATGCTTTTTGTCTTCTCTCTTCACAAAGGATGCTATCTTGCTTCATTTTTTGCTTTTAAAAAATAATAACTGATTCACTGAGGCAATGGGATGTAGCTCAGGAGATAGGGCTGCCAAAAGTGTTGTTATTTCAGTACCTTTTTCACAAATATGTTGGATAACAAAAGCCATAAGTTGGTAGCTGCAAGTCAGTCAGATATATTCTGCAAGTCCCACTAGGTGACAAAACTGGGAATTTTAATCACATGCTTTTGTATATAAAGGCTCAAGCTGGATACCTGCCAAGGAGACTTCTCTCCTTGTCAAAAGCAAGTTTTACCTTCTTCATGTTCCTGTGTCATCCTTAAAGAAAGAAGAGAAAACAGGAAGGACTTCTTCCCAGGGACAGAAGTGGCACAGCGACAACAAACAGGTAACAAAGTCAGGCAGTCAACCCTCTTGCACCCAGAGTATTTCCTGAAGCATATCAAAACTGGGCAAGGTACAGCCAATCTGCCCAGAGGCAGAGTGGTGCTTGCTTTTACACTCCAACAGTACTACTCTGAGAATACCACTTGAATGTCTAACACTGACCACTTTCAAAAGCGTGGCTGAGCCACTATTACAAGATGCACAGCAGGACGCAGAAGCCCAAAAGCTGCAGTTTCTGTTGGCTGCACATGGACGCAGCCATAAATCCCATGCTGCTAAACAATCATTTGGTGCCTAAAGTTAAATAAAAGTATTTCCTGACGCCATCTGTGGCCAAGCAGGAGACATCTATGGAACTGTATAGACATGCCCCTTTACAACCGTCTTGCTAGGGAAGACAAAGAGAAGGCCGCACCAGAGCAGGCGAGAAACTCTGAAAAAAGGCGCTTACGTAGTCCCAGTCTGCAAATCTTTGATGAGTAGAATCCTTCCATATATATGAAGTTTCGTGTTTGTCTTTAAAAATCTATGTCCAGAAGGAACACTCAAATTAAGCTTTTTCCTGAGAAGGAGGTATCTCTTAAAACATTTTTAGTATTAAATACTATAAATATCTTAATACATGAAAAGATGTAAGTATGCATAAGTAATGTTTTAAAAAATCTTCATTAAGAATTTGAGATACCTGTGGTCCTTCTTACTCAGTCTTTTCATTGATGCAACTTCAGTAAACAAAGGAAAGAACAGCAAAAAGACATGGGAGAACAGACTGTAAAATAATCAGTGTGAAGAACCCACTCCTGTGGACAAAGCCTGGAAATCAGATATGCAAGTTCTGATATACAAGATGACATGGAAATTTGAAGCTTTCAGGGCAATGATATACATAATAATTCTAAAATGAGCATCGGCATAAACATTTAAGTATTACATTATGCATTTAACCTATGCATACTTGAAAATGTAAGAGTTCTACTTCAGTGCAAAAGATGAGATAAAATTATTTCCTCCTTCATTCCAAACAGCAACTGACTCAAGTTCCTCCATTTTGCCAGACATCAGAGGTATATTATCTGATGTTGAACAGCTCTTTTGAAGTACCATACATGTTGCTTTACATTTATTACTGAAATTCTAACATGGTTAGAATTGTTACAAGGAATTATTCTTATAAGCGCCACCGTACTTGGAGAAACATGACAAAATCTTACCGCTACATTTCCATTGCACCCTTGGGACTGGCAAACACCTCTTATTCTGTTGGGAATCAGCACATCATCCCAGCAAGATGGGCCCTGCAAACCAAAACCAAAGCATATAAAGGTTTTAATTCACTTCGTAAGTAAACACATAAAATTTGATTTCATTGCTGCTTTTCCTACCCCCACTTCCTTTAGATTTTAGCTAGACAGTTTTGTCATTATTACAGTTCAATCAGAGTATACAACAATATTCACCAGTAAAGCTCAGTCACAGATAGGACATATGGTCCCTCCACTCTAAGGTCAGTGTTGTGAACAGGAGCCAAATAGTAGGTTTGTTTTCTTAGCTTAAGACAGAAACTGACTTAATCATAATCAAAAAGCTGCAAAGACTCATCTTCTGATTCAACACTGTTTACACGTTGGCCTGCAGCTGACTAAGAGGAAAATATCTTTTTTATTTATTAACAGTAAAAACAATAATATGAATTTTGCAGTCACCTTTTAAGTTCTTATCTCCGAGGGAAAGTTAGTGTGCTACATGGCATGGTGCTCTCACTCTCTGCAATAATTTCCTCACAACATTTCTCATGCGTACAAGAGCACTTTTCACACAAAGCAGCTCACTGTTCGAAATAAAAATGTCATCTTCCACTTAAGGTATGCTAAAAGCATATATACAGGGAACTAGGAGCATAATCCCACACTATCAGCGACTATCAACTGTTCACTCACTCTGTAGCTAACAACTTCCTATTTTTACCTCCTAAAAACCTTACCCTATTCATCACTTCTTTATTTTAACTGTTATGATGGGCATAAACCCATAAGAAAGTCAGATTCATTTAACTCTTTTGATAACATTAACCGGACCTAGCTTTAAGTCAATAGTGTTGGGGTTTTTTGTTCTAGCAAAAGTCAGATCAAGTTCTTAAGGGACAAGCAGGAATTAATCCAGCAGGAAAAATGGACTGACAGAATATACTGGGTTTGTGTCTGTCTGGCATTGATGAGTGGAGAGAAAAAACTAACAAAACAATAAACCCCAACCGAACAAAGAAACCCTATACTATGCCTCATTTTCCACGTTTGAAAAATGAGGAAAAATCTTTCCCACATCTGCGCTTGGCATTATTCAGGGCCATATTTTATTATTAAGGCTAACTTAACACACCCAAAAGATTTAGTGTGCTTGAGAATTTTAGTTTTCCACCTTCAAAACTAAAATAGCAAAAAAGACATTTATCCTTGAAAAAAACTGTGCATTCAAAATGTTAATGTTTCTTTAGCAACAGCACTACTAAATGTCATTGCTATAATTGCGTCAAAATACAATTAGGAATTCTGGTGAGATAAACACTTTGAAATGCAATTTTTCTATCCTTCTTTCTTGAGTCTAAGAAAAGCCTGTCAAACTGCAGGTCAGCCAATCACTTTTGGTGTTGTAACACTGCGCACTGTAGCGTTTGCAATTATTAGTTTGCATTAATCAAGAACACACTGTGAGAGGAACAAAGTCTTCTGATTGTGAGATTAAAGCAACTGGCCCTCTTGTACCCAGCCAAATGGCTCACAGAGGAAGCTATGCATTAAAAGAGATACATCACAGAAGACTTTTCCGGTGTATAAATGGGAAAATGACAGAATAAAGAAAGAAATAGAAAGAACACCACTGAATAGAAAAAGTCATATCAAACATAGTTGAGTATTTCCCAAATAACTAGGTATGGAAATTTCTATGCTTTGGGCATATGGGAGTTGTTCCTTCCCTTTTTGAGAGGGAAGACAGGAAAAAAAAAAGTTGGAAAATGGCATATTAAACTTGAACTGAAACTCCTATGCATCATAGGGAGAATGGGGGGACTGAGGTGTTTTTTTCAATGTATGAGGGAAGTACTGGAAATCTGCGTACATTCCACCAGGTTATCGTATTGATGCCCACTATAGTGGACAGTACAGTACACTCTACTCTCAGAGTACTTTCCTTCCAGTAGCCAAGATGCCATTTTTTATTGTAGAACTAAACCTGAATTTTCATTGAGGACCATGTGGAAAAAAAAAAAAAAAAAATCTTCAAAACCAAAAGCACTATCTCGAGATCTCAAATAACAAAATTATTCAAAATGCAGTTGCTGGTAGAACTGTTGACCTGTAAAGTAAGTGGAAGGTCAGAAGCAGAGGTCAGCAATAGAAACCAGTGATTGATCAAAGACTCTGAATCATTTAAAAGACTGAAAACTATCCACGTATTCAATGCTTTGTATTTTCCCTGCTTTATATTCTCCCCTAGTGAACAATATGCAGTAGAATATCATTAAAACACATCTTTGTACCTGCTACTATCTACATGAGAGACATAAATCATTAAAATGTTGAGCAAATGACCCAACCAAGGAACAAGTATTAATGCAGAAGAATTTTTAAAGCTATGTAAGAAATAATTTCAGGTCTTGAGAGAATTTAAAAATCAGCATACAAGTCACTAGAAATGTGCTAAACCTGATGCAAACCATGCGAACACTCAGGCTCCTCTGCAAAACTATGGCTACTGACATGTCTATGTGAGCGTATTTGAAGAGCTTAACATTTTATGACGACTCCTTGGCATGATTTCAGCATCTTGAGACAGTAAGACAGAAAAAGCTCCCCAAAATGCTAGAAAAATTTATTTCCTTTTAGCCACTCTAACCAGGGTATCCACTCCAAGCTACCACAATTCACTGCTTCCAGCGCCAGTATAGATGAACAGCTCTGCCCCCCAGACAAAGTAGGAACCAAGATGTATTCTGACAGTAAGCATGCACCTCTCCTAGAAGAAAAGGCTGAGAGAACTGGGTTTGTTCAGCCCAGAGAAGAAAAGGCTTCAGAGTGATCTAATTGTGGCCTTCCAGTACCTGAAGGGAGCCTACAAGAAAAATTGAGAGGGTCTTTTTACAACAGCAATGTAGTGACAGAGTGAGGGGGAATGACTACAAACTAAAAGAGTAGGTTTAGATTTAGGTATTGGGAAAAAATTCCTTACTGTGAGGGTGGTGAGGCACCAGAAGAGGTTGCCCAAAGAAGCTGTGGATGCCCCATCCCCAGAAGTGTTCAAGGCCAGGCTGGATGTAGCTTTGAGCAACCTGCTCTAGTGGGAAGTGTCCCTGCCCATGGCAGTGGGGTTGGAACTAGATGATCTTTTAAGGTCTCTTCCAATCTAGGCCATTCCGTGATACGCAAACACAGTTTACCACAGGCGATAACTATTGCATAAACAGCAAGAGATCCCCACCAACTGTAACAAACCTAACCCGTAGAAGAGACGATAAAAACTTCTTACTATTATTTTCTTCTACTCTTCTCAAAGCAAGTTTGAGCTTGCTTTCACAATATGAGCACTTCAGTCTTTAAAAAACAATTTTATAAAAGGAACACACCGTTTCCTACAACAGTATAAACATTTTTACTAAATAATCAGAGCTGTTTCCCTCAGCATCACCTGCCTAAAGCTTGTTTGCTTCTCTAAAATCTAGCACCTTCCAACATTTTTTTTCTTATTATGCTACTTCCATAATATTTCTGATGAAGGGTGATTTGCAAGACAACAACAGAGTCAGATCCTAGAGGCTCATGAATGTCTCAGAACAGATGGGTAAGGCTGGAGAAGGGTCAAGAGCTGATAAATCCCCAAGGAACTGGGCAAATTCTAGAGTCAGTGAAAAGGAAGAAAAACACAGATGTTTTTATTGGATAGACAAACTGCTTTATGTCTCTCAAGCAGTTTATCTGTCTATCAGGCTATTGATTAAGCCTGAAGTTACCATTGGTAAACCAGTGCATTCATACTTTTTTCTCAGCATCCCTAGCTCTGTACATGATTCGCTTTTCACATTTCACACTTGTGATTAGAATGGCATTGCTGAATGCTAAGATGGTTTCTTCTGAGCAGTGTATGGATATAACATTTAAATAAAAGCTTTCATCCTGTTTTCTTAGTGCAGTAATGGAGATGAAAAATTAAGACTTTTAAATACACCAATCCAGATATTATAAATTCTTAGCAGGCTTAATTTAAAAGAGCAATCTGACCATCTTTTTAAGCACTTACTAAGAAAAATCTAGCTGTTACATGAGCAACACTCAATTAGACTCAGCAGAAAAGATTCATATGGCACATTTCTAATACTAGAGAGTCTGGATATTTTATTTCAATTCTAAAGAAAAATCTATTTGAATCATAGCAATCATGTAAAGCTCCATATTTATTTAATTTTTCTTTATCTTGACAATCATGAATACAACTAGACCATGTTATTAAATAAGCTACTTGCTAGAGCAGCCCTATGGAGAAAGACTTGGGGGTGATGGTTGACAAAAACCTCATCATGAGCCAGCAGTGTGCACTCACAGCCCAGAAAGCCAAACGAATCCTGGGCTGCATCAAAAGGACCATGACCAGCAGTTCGAGGGAGGTGATTCTCCCTCTTTACTCTGCCCTTGTGAGACCCCCACCTGAGTATTGTGTACAGTTCTGGTGCCCCCAACATAAGAATATCGAAGGGTTGGAGAAAGTCCAGAGGAGGGCCATGAAACTGATAAGTAGACTGGAGTACCTTCCTTAAAAAGAAAGACTGAGAAAGTTGGGGCTGTTCAGCCTGGAGAAGAGAAGGTTGCGTGGAGACCCCATAGATGTTCCAGTATTTGAAGGGAGCCTACAAGGTTGAAGTAGAGTCAATCACATGCTTTGAGTATTTGTTGGATTGAACCTACTGGTTTGATTTACAGTGGTTTCTTAGAGATGCAATTTTCCTTTAAGAGTGCCCAGCCTAATTAGTAAACTGACAGTTTTATGTCAACAGTTATAACTCTTTCAAAATGAAGTAGCTGACAATTTGCTGAACTGCTCGCAATTGTGCAATTAAGAACATTTCCTGCATGGTAGTTATTTCAAATGAAACATGATGGTATCACATCTCTAACTGAAAATAAAGGTAAGGAGAGTACAAATACTTTCTATTACATTATTTTATTGATCATTACTTTTTCTTTCTTATCACAGGTTTTTTTTGCTAAAAAAAAAGAAGAAAAGAGAAGAAAACCCATTAATCAGATGA